GAAAAATTGTTTCTATAATAGAAGTGATTTGTTATTTAACGAAATAACCTGCTTTGATGTACCATATTTTTGCTTTGATGTACGGCCTTTCCACATAGAGCGACAAAGCAAAGACCCCCATCTCGGTTTAATTACCCAAGCTTCCCCCGAGCCCCGAGCCCTTTTTGATATGCAATACTTGAAATTAGGTTGACAAAAAAGTTCGTAGAAAAATTTTGCACGTTTGCGGTTTGCAAGTTCGTGGAAAAAGGAGTACAATCTGTTTATATCCGCCCAAAAATTTGCATTTTATCATTGAGTCGGGTTTGACGAAGGCTTAGATTTTCTCAAGCAACTTTTCTTTCGTCCGATCGTCAACTTCCGTTAAAAAGTGAAAATAGTACAGGATTTATGTACATTTACTAGAATTTAACCATATTAATGCATGGATCTTTTTTTAGTTTCAAAAATCCAAATATTTAGGGGGTTATAACCGGATAGTAGTGAAAAAAATTAAGAGATTTAGAGATAGGGATAGGGAAACCAAATTTAGAGAAATAGGGAACCAGACTTAGTCAGATAGGGAACCAAATTTAGAGAGATAGGAAATTTAGAGAGATAGGAATCAACTTGACAAGGTAAAAGTCCAAGAAATCTCTTTAAGCGTTTTATTTTAGAGTGTAATTGAAGCGGAGATCTCACAGATCTCGAAGGATTTGGACGAATTTGAGGATTTCGAGTTGACGATCGAATACAAGAAAGTGGAACGATTAGGAATTTAAAGAGATAGGGAACCAAATTTAGAGAGATAGGGAACCAAGTTTAGAGAGATAGGAAACCAAATTTAAAGAGATAGGGAACCAGACTTAGTCAGATAGGGAACCAAATTTTGTAAGAGATTTTTGTAAGAAAAAATAAGAGATTTCTTTAGCTGAAATGATTTGGTTACTTTTTGAATGACTTTAGACAAGTTTTTAATGGGTTAATGAATAGTTTACATTGAAAATCGAAAATAAATTACCTAAAACAAAGAAAATTTGCGATGAAGGCAAATTTTATCTAATGCTTTAACTTTTCAGAATAACCTATTTCAACAATCTTGCTCATTTATGTCAACAGCACCCGGTTTCAGCACCGTAAAGTGAGAGCTGGTGCTCTCACTTTGTGGCCATATTTCTTGTACTAAACAAGTGTTTTTCGAAAAGTTTCTTATACCATCGTGTAGCCCAATTGATGGGCTGCATTTTGATACCAGACTTGCACAAAGTGAAGACCCTGGTAAATGGCAATTCCATTCGGCGCAACCTTGATGGTACTAGCCGACCGATCGAGCTAAAAATTGGATTCCACATGTAAAAATGTTATAAAAATGAAATTATAACAAACTTTTCAAGTAATCTGAAACATTTTCGAATAAATCATATAAAATTAATCATATAATTTCAAATAAGGCCACAAATGGGTCATTATGGGCCAAATTATGGGTCATTGGCCATCTGTACTTATTATGGGTCATCTGTACTTATTGTTAGCTCTGACCAGGGATGTTCCAGCCATTGGCCGGTGACCAAGTAAAATTAGAAACAGCCAAAGTAGAAAGTCAGATACAGATCCATTTTTAAAACAAGCCTGGCCTTGACTTTTCCTTGCAAAATGCAAAAAAATTGTTGCAAAATCACTTTTCCCAGACCAAGCTTGGTCCGGGAAAAGTGATTTTGCAACAATTCTGATCAACAATCTGAATTAAACATCAAGATAAAATCTCCTTAGATCCAGAAAATTTTCAAGAGAGTCAAGAATCAAATAAATTCAACATCTCTACACATTTCCGGTTTAAAATCATCCAAGAAACACTTTTTCTAAACTATAAGTGCTTGGTTGTTCTCATTTTCCTTTCGTTCTTTCGTTCTTTTCTTTCTTTCTTTCGTTCTTTCTTTTTTTCTTTCTTTTCTTTCTTTCTTTCTTTCTCTCTTTCTTTCTTTTATTTCTCTCCAATCCTTTTCAAAAGAATGATTTTCAGAAAAAATATTTTTAGATTACATCTCTTGATAATCATTTGAAGACGCTCAAGTTGGGATGAGCCTAAAATTTGTTTGTAGTGTCATCTTGTTGTTATAGAAACGAGATTTGAGACGATTAGATGAATATGGACATAGATTAAGAAGTGGTCTCTACCAGGGCAAAAAAATTAAATAGGCAAAAAAAAAGTTATCCATGTAAGCAGTTAACTTTTTCTTGTAAGTGATTGCTAATAGTAAACGAATTTTGGTGAATATTTGATCGTGGCAGAGACGGTCAAGCTAGCTTGTAAGCCATCATACAATTGGGAGCTGGGGAAGATTTACATTTTATACAAAAAGGCTTAGCTCAGGCTCAGGCTCAGGCTCAGGCTCAGGCTTAGGCAAAAAGTGTGAAAAAAAGTGCTCAAATCCTCTTAAGTTTTATCAAGCTAAGCCCTAAGCCTAAGCCTGAGCCTAAACCTAAGCCTAAACTCAGCTCGACCTATCTCGATGTTTTAGGCTATGTCAAAAAAAGCCCAAATCGACTTGGCAGATCTCAAATTCCAGACAGGAGATCGACCTGAAATTTCGTTCAGACACTCTTATTAGGTTCCAAAGCACACCACCAAACGGGTGTCCCTTAGCTCCGAGAACTGGCTAAGATCCAGAAAATGGGGGTTCAGCCCAAACCCAAATAGACTTAGTGCTAGGCGCTAGCCGCTAGCCTTCGCACTAAGTCCAAGCCTAAGCCTAAGCCTAAGCCTAAGCCTGAGCCTAAGCCTAAGCCTAAGCCTAAGCCAAGTCCGACAAGACGAATACAGAAGGCGGCGAAGTTTCTGTCCTTTTGTCAAATTCTCTCAAAAAGCCTCCTAACTAATCTTATTTCATAAATTTTTATAGCCAAAAGATAGCCAATCTTTTACAAAATTTAAATCTTATTACAGTTTTTAAAGAACATCTTTAGACTTGGAGTTATCGCTTTTTGAAAAAGTATCTGTAATCGCACATTTTTGCGCTTTTTCATTGCAAACTTATTGAAAAAAGAAAAATGGGCACATTTTTGACAGGTTTAATTTTCTCGAGAGCAGCTAGCACTTTTAAAGCCCTATATGAAGCGAATGAAGTTTTAAATTTTACATAAACTCATGAATCTAGTGAAAATTGTCCGTAAATTTGAAATATCTAAACGAAAAAAATTGTCAACTCTTTTGGTTTTTGAGGAAATCATCTTTTTGTAGAGCGCAACACTTTACAGGGTGCGACGAAAGTTCTGTCATTTTTAGAATTTTCTCTAAAAGCTTCCTGGTTGTTTTTATTTCATAAGTATTTATAGCCAAAAGATAGCTAATCTTTTACAGAATTTAAGTCTTCTGTAGTCTTCTGTACCTTGATGGTACTAGCCGACTGATCGAGTATCTGTAATCGCACATATTTTTTGCGCTTTTTCATTGCAAACTTATTGAAAAAGACCAATGTAGAAAGGGTTTTTTCAAGAAATTTCTCCCCAACAAATCCTGAATACATCGATTTTCTGGGATTTGGATTATCATCATTTATATGATTTAAGTATCTATTTTCACTCAAACCATTTTCATCAAAAAAAATCACTTAACTTAATTGAGAAAAATGGGTTAAAAGGAAAAATTTTTAGAACTTTTTGAAGAATGAAGATTGAAGATTGAAGAATTTGAGATAAATTCGGATTTTCGTTGGGATTTTCTATTTCCCATAGCTTCTATTTCCCATAGCTTTTCTTTCCCATAGCTTCTATTTCCCATAGCTTTTCTTTCCCATAGCTTCTATTTCCCATAGCTTTTCTTTCCCATAGCTTCTATTTCCCATAGCTTTTCTTTCCCATAGCTTCTCTTTCCCATAGCTTCTATTTCCCATAGCTTCTCTTTCCCATAGCTTCTATTTCCCATAGCTTCTATTTCCCATAGCTTCTATTTCCCATAGCTTCTATTTCCCATAGCTTCTATTTCCCATAGCTTCTATTTCCCATAGCTGTTTCTCTTTCTTATAAGCGAGTTTTATAGATTTTCTATTTCCCATAGCTGTTTAAATCAAAAAAAGAAAAATATTTTAGAAGTAGAACAAAAAACGTCCTTTTAGCCAGGGTTTTTTGTTTCATATAGCGTATTTTTTGCTTTAGAAAATTGAAATAAAACTTTTCTGGTAGTCTTGAGTTGGATTTCGTTTAAAATATATCATATTTAAAATATCATAGCTTTTGCTACGATTGAGATCAAGAATTGTAATTGTTAATGGGATTTTAATGGAATGTGGAATAATAATGGCATAAATCGTAATTACTTCATTATTATTGTCTTATTATTCATTATCATTATTTGTCTTCATTATTATTCGTGACTACTGGAGTAGCAGGCCTGGATTAGGAGGATTTTCCCACATGTCCCACATTATGTCAAGAGCAAAATTTGAATCTATTCTTCGCAACCTGCGTTTTTGTGATAATGAACTGGATTCTGCAGGAGATCGGCTTTATAAGATTAGAGCTATTATGGAACATTTCGATGCAAAACCAGAGGCTGCATTGATTTCGGGTAAATATGACACATCTTTTTTGCCCACGTAATTTGTAGATCTGTTACAATTGGAATATACATGTAATGCTGTAAAACAGCAAAAAAAAACCAATTAATTGAATGAAAATAGCTCAATTAGCGCTGCAGCAAATAATCGCTGCAGCGGTCCGTTCCTGAGTTTTTGCTGCAGCGATTATTCGCTGCAGAAGTTTCGAATGGGTTAAAATGATGATTGAAACAGTTCATCGCATCGCATAAAACCGAAATATGACAGCTTACTATACATGGCTCCTTGGCGCAATGGTAGCGCGTTCGACTCCAGATCCAAAGGTTGGGTGTTCGAGTCACTCAGAGGGCAAAATTTTTTTATTTTCTTTTCAAGATTAGAATTGTAGTAGATAATAAACTTTATCGTCCTTTTGATTCTTTTTTTGCATGATGTGGGAAACGGAAAGAAAAAATTGATTAAAATTTATTGTCTGTGAAAGATTTCTTCAAGCAGTGGTCCTTCGAGTTTGCAATATTTCATCAAAGTGTTCCTGCCCAATTCGGCGTTTATTTTTGGAGATGCGTTCTGAAATTTTTGAAATTTGAGAACTCGACCTTGTCTTGTTATTTTGTAGTCATTAAATTCTTGAAAGACGTTTTGTAAACCAACCAGCAAATAGTTTGGAACACTCATCAAAGCCGTGAACCTTTCAATCGCCATTGAAGGACTTTGAAACCGATTCTTCAGATGCTAAACGGATTGTTTTAACTCAGAAAAGCTAATAAGTCAGAGAAGCACTAGACTAGATGAAGTTAGACGAGGCAATGATCAATATCGTAACCTGTTTCTTGTTGTTTCAAGCTGAGCTACTTACTAACTTGCTTTCTAGGCTTTTAGGCTTAGGCTTAGGCTCGGGCTTAGGCTTAGGCCTAGGCTTAGGCTTAGGCTCAGGCCTAGACTCAGGCTCAGGCTCAGGTACAGGCTTAGACTCAGGATTAGACCCAGGCTCAAGCTCAGAAACAGATTCAGGCTTAGACTCAGGCTTAGACTTGGGAAAGTGTCGTAGGCTTTTGATTGGCATGATTGGCTAGTGTCCTAGTCTGACTTGACTTGACTCTGAGCCAGATCGGCCTGCTGACGTGATTGGCTAGTGTCCTGGTCTGACTTGACTTGTCTCTGAGCCTAATCGGTCTGCTGACGTGATTGGCTAGTGTCCTGGCCAGGCTTGACTTGACTCTGAGCCGGATCGGCCTGTTGACATGATTAGCTAGTGTCCTGGTCAGGCTTGACTTGTCTCTGAGCCAGATCGGCCTGCTGACGTGATTGGCTAGTGTCCTGTTCCTTTTCTTAGATTCTTTTTCAGCCAACTTCAAACGTTTCACAGATACCTTTTCCAATCTAGACTAAATTTGTTTTTGACTAGAGTAGTCTAGATCTTCAGGTCTATTCTGACTTGACATTGGTAAAATCCTTCCTTGGACAAGCCGGTCCTTTTATGGGCTTGGAATCCAAAACATGGTCGACACTGGGATTCGAACCCGCTACCTCTCGCTACACTGACACGTAGCCGATTGCAGCCAAGCTTTATGCTTTACTCTTTTCTAACCTCCAGCAAGATGCTCGTGTATTTGTTGAAAGCATTGCGTATCACCTGAGCACTCACATCGGAAAATCCCACAGCTTTGATGGAACTGAAAACTCTAACGAATGTTAACAATGTACAAACCTGATGAGAACAAAAGAATGGTTTTGATTAGGAGAAATTCTTCGTCGAGCATCTCACCGCGTCGAATCGCTGGAATCACAAGTTTCACTCCGTAGGGAACATACCAATTGTAAGTGTCCTCAAAACTGAAAGGATATTGATTGATTGTGTTTGATTTTGATGACAAATGACTTGCTTTATAGCAATCTTTGTGCTTTATGTTCCAGCTAGGCTCGATTTCGAAGTTAGTTGGCCTTACAGTATCTGGGTTACAATAGTATCTACATTTACAGTAACCCAGGCCGGTTGACGTTACAGTAATCTTTACCTAGATCTTTACCTAGATTACTGTATCTATCACTAGGTTAGTTGGCCTTACAGTAACCTGGGTTACAGTATCTGGGTTACAGCACCATCTACACTTACAGTAACCCAATCTGGTTGACGTTACAGCAATCTTTACCTAGATTACTGTATCTATCACTAAGTTATTTAACCTTACAGTAACCTGGGTTACAGCACCATCTACTTGTACAGTAACCCAGGCCAGTTGACGTTACAGTAATCTTTACCTAGATTACTGTATCGACTAACTGAGTGGGGATTACGGTAGGCCACTTTAAAGTCGGTTACCATGGCCGAAGTTTGCGCAAAGTTCTAAAGTGCGAAATGAGTCCGTTTTAAATTATTTCTTTCAAACTTTTGTTACATAATAAAGAATCTGTAGCTTGCAAAGGCTTCCAATTATTGAAATTATTGTTGATCAGTTAAACCAATTATTGAAAATCATCTTTAAACACAAGTTTTTACACTTACAAAACATCAATCCCCGGCACGGCGTTCACGGGACAATCGGGACCGATAGTTCTGAATCCAAGCGCTGACAAGAGACCGTTTTTAAAGTTATATTTATAAGTGTGATAGTAGTCGTTGAGCATTCCTTGCATAGCGAATTGCGTGCTAATCAAGTTGATCTAAAAATTTCGCTTTTATATTCGAGTTCTTGTAGCTCAATTACCATTCCTGGGTATTCAACTCACCCGATCTTCCTCATTAAGATGCCAAAATTCGGGAATTGCTCGATAGAGATCGGTGCAATGGACTAGTGCTCTGGCCACTATTCTCGCGGCCATCGCTGGCAGTTGCTCAAGTGGAATATTTGGCTCGGTGGGTTCATCGTAGCCAAGCTAAAGAAGCTTTAGAAAAACTTTAGAGCTGCTAAAGTGCTAGCTCGATTTTCAAGATCTTTCAAACTTGCAATAATGTTACACCAGAATTTTGCGTTTCGCGAAATCACTAAATCAAGCTCTTGCAAATTTCACTGAGATTTTGTAAAAGCTTTTTCAGATTTTTTAGAACTAGCTCGATGTAGAAATCTCAGGTTTGAAAGCTTTTTGGTAGCAAATGGTAGGCCTTTAAGAGAGTTTTGTGACTTTAGACTTATTATTGATCAATCGGAGCATACTAGACAGGGAAAATCGGGTCGGATCGCGTCAAAAATTTGAATTTCCGGGTTGGAAGAAGAAAAGAAGTGTCATTGTCAAAAGAAGAAAGATATGAATGGTGGTATACTTACAAACGTTGCAAAGTACTCGACTAAAATTCCTTAACTCCCTAGTGAACTCCTTAACTCCCCAGTTAGCTCCTCAACTCCCCAGTTGACTCCTTAACTCCACAGTTAACTCCTTAAGCCCCTAGTTAACTCCTTAACTCCCCAGTTGACTCCTTAACTCCACAGTTAGCTCCTTAACTCCACAGTTAGCTCCTTAACTCCCCAGTGAACTCCTTAGCTCCCCAGTGAACTCCTTAACTGCCCAGTGAACTCCTTAACTCCCCAGTGAACTCCTTAACTGCCCAGTTAACTCCTTAACTGCCCAGTGAACTCCTTAACTCCCCAGTGAACTCCTGAACTGCCCAGTTAACTCCTTAGCTCCCCAGTTAGCTCCTTAACCCTCTAGTTAACTTCTTAACTCCACAGTTAACTCCTTAACTCCCCAGTTGACTCCTTAACTCCACAGTTAGCTCCTTAACTCCACAGTTAGCTCCTTAACTCCACAGTTAGCTCCTTAACTCCCCAGTTAGCTCCTTAACTGCCCAGTTAACTCCTTAACTCCCCAGTTAACTCCTTAACTCCCCAGTGAACTCCTTAGCTCCCCAGTTAACTCCTTAACTCCCCAGTGAACTCCTTAGCTCCCCAGTGAACTCCTTAACTCCACAGTTAACTCCTTAACTCCCCAGTTAACTCCTTAGCGCCCCAGTTAGCTCCTTAACTGCCCAGTTAACTCCTTAACTCCCCAGTTAACTCCTTAACTCCCCAGTGAACTCCTTAGCTCCCCAGTTAACTCCTTAACTCCCCAGTGAACTCCTTAGCTCCCCAGTGAACTCCTTAACTCCTCAGTTAACTCCTTAACTGGGATCATCTGCTGTTTACTATTATTACTTTAATAAATATTACGCTATTATTTGAATAAATCAATAATATTTCTTTTTCTCACCGGTATCCTTGAACAAACGGCGGTCGGATTGTGCAAAACTTGATTGAGAGAAAGCTCGAAAGAGTAAGGGAAATCGAAAACAAGACGCCCGTGGAGATCCTGGGTAATCATGCTAAAATAAAGCTTAAATAACTAATTATTTTAATGTAAGTATTTTTAACAAAATAAAGACAAACAAACTTTTGAATGTTCATCAAACTTCTCACAACATCAACAGCTTCTAATCTCTCGTAAAGCAAAGGACGCGCGAAATTTTGAGCAGCCATTTGAAATTCTCTCTAAAAATTCAGAAATTAAAGTGATTTTCTTGATTTACGAGATCGATTTGATGACTTTTTGATGAAATTCGCTCTTTTTTGATCACTTTTAAGTGAATTTCTTTAGATTGAATGAGACCACGACGCTTCCGAAGCTCACAACCGGCGCGTCGAGCTGTGACTGAAACTTTTTGGATTTGGATATGCTAAATGGATACGATAGCTTTTGAAAGGCAACAAGTTTCAGCTTGGTGATCGAAATTGAAAGTTTACATAGAGATTTCTCAATTCACTCACTCTCTGGAATCATTCCAACTTCAATACATTTTTGGAATCGACAAGCGATACATTTGTTTTTAGCTGAAAGGAAAAGTTATGTATTACAGAAAAATGAAATTGAAATATGATTTCAAACCAAAATTCAGAAAATCCGGCGGAGTGCAAAGGCCAGAATTCTGACAAATTGACGGTTTCCGTCTAGAAGTAGAAGCACGGAAGAAAAAACTCTTGCAACTTCTAAACTAATAGATTTTGTTTAGAAATAAACTAAACTAATAGAACTAAATCTATCAGTTTAGTTGCACGTCAATTCGAATGGGTTGGTGAATTGAAAACTGCCGCCTATTGTCATATGTCACAGTTTGAGCACTGCATTTTAAGCGAAACTACTAAGTGTATCTTTTTGGAAATTGGCTTTTGGCTTTGGCTATAAGCCTAATTTTTGATTTTTTACAACTTTTCTATTGACACCAAAATGGGTTTCTTTTGAAGAAAGTGCTCAAACTGGGACATCTCGTTCGAGAACTTCTACAACAGCTTCCCTAAAACCTATCGCTACATGAGGCCCAAAGCTTATGGATGTCCTGAACGCCGTTCGATAAACAAGGATCATTATCTTCTTAGCAATTAATAACGTTAGATAAGCTCACTCAACGACTTGTATTCTGTGGGTTTAGTACTTTGGGCGACCATTGAAAGGAGGTGGGAGATGCAAATCTTCTTCCGATTTGCACCAGAAGAAGTTTATGCTCTGCGTTTTCTGGGATATGGAGGGAGTGGTGTACTGGGAGTTGCTGGATAGCAAGACGACCCTTAATGCAATCAAATACAGTGAACAGTTGGGAAAGGTGAATGGATCCCTGAAGAAGAATAGGCTCCCCAAGTCAAAGATCGTTCTCATCCACGACAACGCGCGCCCTCATGTTGCAAAACTGACTCGCGCTAAAATAAATAGCCTTGTTTGGGAACTTTTGGCGCATTCCCCATACAGTCCGGACCTCGCCCCTTTTGATTACTATTTATTCCGGATCATGAGTAATGAGCTTGCGGAAGCGCGTGAAGAAAAAGGAATCTTACAATCACAATCTTACAATTGCAATCTTACAATTACAATCTTACAATTACAATCTTACAATTAGCCCACCCGCAAGCCATTCCTCCATAAGCTCTCCTCGCATGCATTCCACCACAAATCTGACATTTCTCTCCTCTTTGCAAATCATCGGTCAAATCGAGAATCTCATTACAATCATCGCTTAGTTCTTCTTCTTTCATTATTGTTCTTAAAAATGGTACAAAATACTACAAAATAGAATAAAATAGTACAAAATCGTACAAAATAGTACAAAATAGTACAAAATAGTACAAAAAATTACAAAAAGAGATCATTAAAAGCATAAAATGTTAAAGAAATCAACAAAAATTTGAATATTTTAAAAAAAAGAGTGGTTTAAAATGGTTTTTGAAAGCTAAATTTGACATTATATGAAAATTTATATATTCTTATTGAATTTATTAGATTCTTAAAGACTAAGAAACTTGTATAATTTTAAAATATAATAGAGATTATTGAAAACAAAATGAAAAAGTTATATTTATAGCTTTCGTATCTTTTTAGAGACATAATTAGTTGTTGAAAGTACGAGTAATTTGTCTAGTCGAGGTGTGAAAAAGCACAAAAGCTGAGAAATCGATACAAACCGAGACAAAATAGAAAAAGAGAAAGGGTTTCGGCGAAAAGATTGAATTCTAAAGGGTAATGAATTTGTTAATATTCATTGAATCTAGAATTTATTAGTTGCATGCGTAAGAAAGGCGGATTTCAAAATTTTCATAAATTTCCAACGATAGAAACCTGATGTTATAAACTAGAATTGATGAATGTTATAAACATTCCTCCCGTCAAAGAAGCCATCAACCCAAAAAGTTACCGAATTCTAAAGAGCTAGGCTTTAGAAAACAAGTTAAGCTTTCTTTTATAGCTCATAGTTTTCCTTGTTATGTCAAGTAAAAGATTTTACCATATCCCGACCGGCTATCATGATGTTCCAGTTGTCTTTAGCGTTTTCGATTGAAGCTAGTGTTCCATCAAAACTAAATTTTTTAGAGTTTGCTTTTAAAAGAGGATTTATATATCAATAATTTCTATTTCTATCTTTAAAAATTATCAGCCTTACTAGTTTTCGCAAAAGCGTTTCGCTTGATTGTAGGAGAGTTGCGTGTCGACGATGACAAAGCAACTTCAAAAGCACAAAATAAGTGCTTAAATTAATGTCATAGTAGAAATATTAGGTACATGCATAAGAAATGCGGATTTCAACATTTTCCTAAATTTCCAACGATAGAATGATATCGATGATATCGATTGTTATAAATGAATGTTATAAACTATTTAAAAGTTGTAAATCTCCTCTACAAAATAGGCTAAAATGTGTTTCAATTGATCGAACCATTGAAGAAATTTCGAGGGCCAAATGCGAGTGACCGAAAAAGGGCACTTTTTGAAAACCCCACGTTCACAAGAGTTCCGTTTCGACTATATAGTGGGAAATGCGCTAAAATATCAATAAACCACCTTAAAGTATCATTCAAAATAATTAAGAGTTGGGATCAGTTCATGGGAAAACTTTGTTTTTACAATAATTTTTCGTTTTTGTGAAAAAGCCGCTTTTTTGACAATTTTGAGGGTTTTGAACTTTGAGCTCTATCTAAATTTCGGTAAATGCATTTCCGTTAGACTTTTTTAATGAATTCATATATAGTTATCCTTTTTTATCTTCAATCTTCAATTTTGGGAAGCTAACTCTATTTTGACTACACTCAACTTGCCCCTAAAGTGACTCGATTCCGTTTTTGGTCACTCGCATTTCGCCCTCGAAATGTCTTCAATGGTTTGATCAATTGAAACACGTTTTAGCCTATTTTGTAGAGGAGACTTGCGACTTTCAAATAGTTGATAACATTCATCGATTCTATTGGGTTGGGGAGAATGAGTCGGCGCCCAACTTTAAAGGGACTTTTTGCACACATAAAGCCTTCTTTAAACATACGTTTGGTTTCATCAAAAGGATCCACTATTTCTCTACAAAATCACTTTTGAGAGATTCCACAAAGCTTTTCTTTCGTGGAGTTTATGAACTTCGAAACGCAGCTGGTTAAAATGGCAAAGAGTCCGACTCATCATTTGAACAGTTTCTTTCACATAAACCTTCTTTGGTGTTTAAATAAAAAAGATAGAGCACATTCAATTACTTAAGTTGCCAAATTTGCAGAAAGATCCCACCAATGGTTTTTTCTAGATCACAGTTTGTAGTTTTTGTGAAAAAATGGCTTTTTCTTGAGCGGATTTGGTTTGGTTTTGATTTGGTTTTGATTTGGTTTTGTTTTGATTTGATTTGCTTTTGATTTGGTTTTGATTTGATCTTGATTTGTTTTGATTTGGTTTTGTTTTGTTTTGTTTTGATTTTGATTTGATTTTCTCTGGTTTTATCTGACAAAAAAACTGATATTCAATCAATACTGAAATCAAGAAAAACAAAGCAAAGTTTAGCCTCAAACATGTAGAATTATCTCTTTATTCTATAGAAAAATATTCATTGAAAGTAAATCAAAATCTTAATAATTCATCACAAAAGAAAACAATAGAATCCAAAAATAAATCACATGAAATGAAAAGAAAAATTTACTGATTTTTTGTTTAAATTAAATAAATTTAAAGATAAATCATCAAAATTTAATAATATTTTTATTATTTTATAGTTTCCATAAGAGATCCTCGGATAATTTCCCTCTTAAGCCGCCTTCTTGACAGAGCACCGCTTTCCCGTAAAGAGAACCGACTTTCGGGACGCTGTTCTGAAAATTTTCCAAATTTAGAACGGATTTAAGATCGAATTTGTGCTAGAATTTGCAAATCTTCCCTTTTTGGCGTTCAATTCTTCACTTTCTTGCAGGATTTTCCTGGGCTTGGCCCTGACATTGGCTTGGCCCTGGCATTGGCTTGGCTAGATTAGACCAGGCCAGACCAATCTGAATAATTTAACTTGGCTTTACTGCAAGTTTATTAGCAAAGATCGGAAGCTAGGTTTTAACCTGGCTTCTGACCTTGCCTCGTTTTATTGTTAGCAATAAATTGAAAAGGACTAGAAGCCAAGTTTGAGCTTGAATTTCTTGTCTGATTTCTTGTCTGGCTTATGACTCCAGTCTCCAATTAAAAAATCCCTGTACAGCACCGCTTTACTGCTTTACTTTACAAGAAAGTGACAAATCCAGTCCGCTAGAAAAGGTGAGTCTCTCAGTTTTGTACACAAAGCACACTTTCAATCTACCTGTAAACATCTAGGTATACAGCCCTGTACACCACCGCTTTACTAGCACAGCTTGAATTCTGGTCTGGTTTCTTGTCTGGCTTACGACTCCAGTCTCCAATTAAAACATCTCTGTACAGCACCGCTTTGGCTCTGGCATTGGCTTGATTAGGTTAGACCAGGCCAGACCAATCTTCTGAATAACTTTACTGCAAGTTTATTAAAAAAGATCGGAAGCTAGGTTTTGGCCTGGCTTCTGACCTTGCCTCGTTTTATTGTTAGCAATAAATTCCCTAGATTAGAAGCCAAGTTTGAGCTTGGATTCTGGTCTGATTTCTTGTCTGGTTTACGACTGGCTTACGACTTCAGTCTCCATTTAAAAAATCCCTGTACAGCACCGCTTTGGCTCTGGCATTGGCTTGGCTAGGTTAGACCAGGCCAGACCAATCTGAAGAATTTAACTTGCCTTTACTGCAAGTTTACTAACAAAGATCGGAAGCTAGGTCTTGGCCTGGCTTCTGACCTTGCCTCGTTTTATCGTTAGCAATAAATTCCCTGGGTGAGAATCCAGGTTTGCGCTTGGATTCTGGTCTGATTTCTTCTCTGGTTTACGACTGGCTTACGACTCCGGTCTCCAATTAAAGCATCTCTGTACAGCACCGCTTTACTGCTACAAGAAAGTGACAAATCCAGTCCACTAGAAAAGGTGAGTCTCTCAATCTAGCCAAGCCAAGTTTTGTACACAAAGTACACTTTCAATCTACCTGTAAATATCTAGGTATATCCATCAATCTCGTGAACTTCTCAATGGCCACTTTTTCATCTTTGTGTCGAAATTTTAAATACTAAAGAATAAATACTTTAATGAAATCTTATTTAATAAACCTCTAACAAAATTGAGCAATATTTACTGTAGGCCCGTTTGGCGACATCAATTGTTTTCTGTTTCAAGCCAAGACCTGAAATTTTACTTTTTCCAACTGCTTTACTTGAAATTAGCATGTACTTAATCGTAAGCTCAACTTTTTCCACTCAGTTTTTCAGATTCAAGAACTCACCCGTCGAGAAAAGGATGATATTCTTGAGAATGACGAACTCCTCATCACCCATCTCTGCCTGTGCCATGCATGGGATAATTAAACCGAAAGCCATCTCGACATGGAGGGCATAAAATCTAAAATGGTCTAAGAACGGTCTAAAATTGTCTAAAATCATCTAAAATCGTCTGAAATCGTCTAAAATAGCTTGAAATGGTCGAAAATTGTCTAAAATGGCTTAAAATTGTCGAAAATGATCTAAGAACAGTCTAAAATGGTCTAAATTGTCTAAAATCTTCTAAAATAGTTTTAAATGGTCTAAGAACGGTCTAAAATGGTCTAAGAACGGTCTAAAATGGTCTAAATTGTCTAAAATTGCCTAAAATTGCCTCTAATTGTCTAAAATCGTCTAAATTCGTCTGAAATCGTCTAAAAGGGTTTAACATGGTTTAAAATGATTTAAAATCGTCTAAAATAGCTTCAAATGGTCTAAAACGATCTAAAATGGCCAAGAATGGTCTAAAAAAAGTCCAAACCTGGTTAAGCGAGATTAGCCTACTGATTACTGATTACTGATTACTGATTACTGATTACTGATTACTGATTACTGATTACTACTGATTACTGATTACCAATGATTACTAATTACTACTACTGATTAGCCAGGTCCAGCTCAGAGCTGGCTAAGCAGTAGCCCAAAGAAAAGTTCTAAACAGTTTTCTTAACCATTTTACAAACACGTTCCAGATATTAGATACGTTTTATAAACACGTTCCAGAGAAGTCTTATAATCTTATCGTTAAAGTGTTGAATCACTCACGAGGCGAGCCTCAACTGCTCCAACTGTTCCAGCTTGACCTTGTTCCCAAACGTGAAGAGCAACCCGTTGTGATACTTGTATTTGTAAGTGTAATAGTAGTCTTTGTACATGTTTTGACGAAGGAATTGCCGGGAAAAGAAGATCGCCTAAATGGAAATACTTGAATTTGAAAATAGTAATGATATTCAGTCTTTCTAGCTTAATATTTTTACTATAAAGTAGGCTTTTAACAAAAACATCTGTCGTTTCTTTTTTGCCGTTGAAAATTCAAGGTTTTTCTCAGCATCAACCCTTCAATTTTGGCTGTTTTGACTATCATTCGATGCAGAATATAGCTGCTCGTTAAATGATACCAAAACTAACTCAAAATGTCAAATCCACGTAAAATTGTTAGCAAAAAACCTAAAGACTCGCATATTATGAGCGAGGTTTAACCTTTTGCCTCATAACTTTGCGTGGATATTATATTTTGAGTTAATTTTTGTATCATTTGACGCGCAATTTTATTCTGCATCGAATGATAGTTAAAATAATCAAAATCAAAGGGTTGTTGTTGAGAAAAACATAAAAAAAATCCTAAATTGTCAACGGGGAAAAAAGAATATTTAAATTGGACAGCTTAACTCCAAGAAATTTGAGCTTAAAGTTGGATTGGCAATGGGAAAGGGGGCGGGGCATGTATAAAAGGTCCGTCGCCGCGCCCCCTTTTCATTGGTAATCTAACTTTGAGCTCAAATATCTTGGTGTTGGGTAGTTCAATTTAAATGTTCTTGGTATCATTGAATTCGCCAAATCTTTTTCTCTCGATTGGTATAAAAACTATTTAAATTGGACAATCCAGTACCAAGGTATTTGAGTTCAAAGTTGGATTGCTAATGGCCAAAGGGGCAGGGCGATTGTGGGACCTTTTATACGCGAGGCCCCGCCCCTTTGACACCCGGGACACGTATCAATTCTTCCAGAATCGTCAAAAAATATGTCACTAACCCGATCATCATCATGAATTTCCCAGAACTCGGGAATGGCTCGACACCAATCGGCGAAGAGGACGATGGATCGAGTGAAGATTCGGGCACCCAATGTTGACAGGAATTCGTTGGGAACGTTTCCTGTTGATGGATGCATTCCTACCTCAAATCGTTAATTACCATTTTTGTTAATCAAACTCACTGAATAACGGTAGGATTTTATGATTCAATCTTATGATCTTTCGTAGACAATCTTAAATTTCTCACCGGAACCCTTGGGCAAATGTTCAGCGGATTGTTGAGCAACGCATCCACTGAATCCTCCAGCGAATATTGAAAGTCGACCATCATTGAAAATGATGGATGATCGTTCATGATTAGTCTGAAAATGTAGAAATTAGCGCATTACTCTGAGAAAATCGAGAGAAATCAAGAGACGAGAATACACTCAAGTTAGATCATTGTTTTCCCAGTTTATCCAAGCAAAACATCCATGCTGTGATGTTCTGTGTGTAAAATGAATATCGCCAATCGATTCCCCGACCCCGAAAACCCTCGGGTACAAATTTACAGCTGAATCTCTTCTTGTGTCATCTACAAAGCAAAAGAAAAATCACTGTGTGGCTGCCGAGGTCTTCTTTGTGCGCTCGCCATCTGGCAACAATCGCTCGCCATCTGGCAAACCGCTCTGGCATAAGAGCTTCTCTTTTGGAATCCGTAAAAGTGAAGGAGCGACGAACGACGAACGACTAAGCCAGTCTTGCCGTCCTGCGTGAACAAACCAACTTAAACTTCGTCAGGTATCTTTCACAGCTTTGCCAAAAAGAAGAATACGAATTGATCTACGCTTGCGATGAAACGGGTGTCTGGCTTGATCCACTTGGAGGAAAATGTGTGGATTAGAAGGGAGCAAAGGAAGTGACCGCTTTGACAACTGGACACGAAAAGACAAGGATCACAGTTATGTTGACTAGACGATCGGATGGATTCAAATGCCGTTCACTTGTCTTGCTCAACTTGGATCCGTAAAGGGGAAAGAGCGGTGAGTGACTGAGCCAGTCTCGCCATTCTGCGCACTCAAAAGAACCGCTAAAGGGATTCGAACAAGCCATCTTAAACTTTATGATGCATCTTCGCCAAAAAGGAGGATACGAATTGATCTACACTTGTGATGAAACGGGTGTCTAGCTTGATCCACTTGGAGGAAATGGTGTGTCTCAGAAGGGAGCAAGTGAAGTGACGGACTGGACACGAAAAGACAAGGATCACAGTTATGTTGACTAGACGATCGGATGGATTTAAATGCCGTTCACTTGTCTTGCTCAAATGGAATCCGTAAAGGGCAAAGAGCGGTGAGTGACTGAGCTTTGCCACTTTTGTGGGATCAATTTTTGTCTTGAATTTGGATGTATTTTGACCAAAATTATTGCCCCAAAGCAAACTTTGCATCAAAAATCGTTAAAAATAAATTAACAAATGTGGCTGTGACTCAGATCTTAAAAAGTTGAGGTTATGAAGAAAGTTGGTCTAATTGATGGTCTAGAGCATCACGAAATGTCACATATTGTCAAATATGTATAATATGTATAATATTTGACTATATACAGCTTTTAACTTTTAATGTAGTAGCTTTTAACTCTTTTAAAACGTACTCTTGAAAGTTGACAAGCGTTTTGATCGTTTCGATCGTCACTTCTTGTAGGCAGAAAACCGGTTTCGCAAATCTAACGCCAGCCAGCTGGACTTCTCTCTGGAATTGATCTTTCTATCGTCACTTTAAGCCTAAGCCCAAGCCTGAGCCTAACCTGAGGTAGGTTAAGCCTAAGCCTAAGCCTAAGCCTAAGCCTAAGCCTAAGCCTAAGCCAGCCTAAGCCTAAGCCTAAGCCTAAGCCTAAGCCTAAGCCTGAGCCAGCCTAAGCCTAAGCCTAAGCCTAAGCCTAAGCCTAAGCCTAGCTGTATTTTTTGTGTTCAAAATGTAAACGCATCCCTTCTAGTGCACTTGAGCATTGAGTTTTCTTGTTCTCAGTGAGTTTTGAGTGCACAAGAGCTGATGCATTTACAAGTGCACAAAATTTTGAGCAACTTGAACACCAAGCATCCGTAAACCGTAAACAAACCGCATCTGGTGCACAAATTGGTGTCAACTGATTGCTCGTCGATGCGATTTCAATCTCTACAAGATTTCGAGTTGCTTGCGAAAGAGCTGAGAGTTTTCGCCCTCTTTTTTGAAGTCCGATCATCGCTCGACGTTCTCGTAAAGTACAACCACGACGACGAGCCGTCACTAAAATTATATTCATTAGATAGATATGTATGTAATATTGAACATTTACATTTGTTGCTTTCTTTTTAGGCAAAACTTAGACTCCTGGGTTTTCCAGGTGAGAAGACCACCTAAAGGTACTTTAAAGGAGCTTTAAAGGAACTAAATAGGAACTATAAAGGAGCTTTAAACGAGCTTCAACCCTAAATCAACTCACTTTCCGGGATCATCCCCATTTTGATGCACTTCTCGTAGCGACAAGGAACACATTTACTTTTCCCTAAATTGAGAAATTCAAAGAGTTTTTTGGGCAAAATGAATAAAGCTTTCAATGTTGTCAAATTAATTTAAATATATTAAACATTGTAGTTTCTTGGAAATCTCACCAGCTCCTCGAAAATTCTGCTTCCCACAGATTTTCCGATTCTGACACTCGGGTACCTTGGCGCCGGCGGTGGTCACACGGATGAAGAAGACTTTGCAGCTACTGGAAATTTACAAGATTTGTAGGTTTTATTGAAGAAAAACGAAATTTTTGATGGTTGTTCTTGGTAGTATTTTAGGAAAAACAGGAAACAGGAATGTTTCTGTAAAATCAAAGCAAAGCTGCCTCAAAGCAAAGTTTGAAGCAAAGCTGCCTCAATTCGATAAAATAAATTTACAAACCAAACTCAACTCATAGAATGGCTTGATTAGAGACAGTTTTAGAACTACCGTATTTTCTCTAATAGTAGTGCACCATGAGCGTCGTCTAAATTACTCGAAATCTCGAGAACCGCTTATCAGAACCTATCGATGTGGTGTCGGAAAATGTAGCTGACGATGAGATCTAGTGGGGGATTAGAGTGTTGAGCTTCTGCGAAAACTTAGAAACCGTAAAATAGTGATCAACTCGGCTCGCCGGGGTGCACTAGTATTAGAAAAAAGACGGTATTAGTCTCAATATTGATAAAAATTTCAATAAGGTCTTTGAAGTTTCTCCCTATCTGTATTTTTTCTATCTTCTATCTATGTTCTATCTTTTTTTTTCTATTTACAGAAAAATAGATTTCTGTAGAAGAAAAGGATCAAATCACATAAACGGGCCAATTTTGACAACTCATCTTCTCGGCTCTTAAAATTTCTTAAAACTTAAAGCTTTTTAAAACACTTGAGAAGCATTTTGTAGAAAAAAATAGGGTTTTTCAGTAAAAAAAACCGCTTTTGTTTTGGTCGCCTTTATTTTAGTCGATTCACCGTTTCTAAAACGGTCAATGAAGGATGACAAAAAAATTTCATATAGTTGTTGGTAATCCAGTAATAGATTAAGTACTATTGGTTGATCTGTGAATAACAAAGAATTAATCTAGTTGTTGGTAATCCAGTAATATATTAAGTACTATTGTTTGACCTGTGAATAACAAAGAATTAATCTAGTTGTTGGTAATCCAGTAATAGATTAAGTACAATGTGTTGGTTTGTGAACAAACAAAGAATTAATCTATTAGGTGTGTGAAAAAGTAATCCACGTTTTTTATTTTTATTTTGTTTAAATAAATATATCTAAACAATTTTTAATTTTTTGTTAACGATATATATCGTTTAAAAGCTTATTTTTTCCTCTTTCGAATGATATATTTATTTTGTTAAAAGGACGACAATAAACTACTTTCATTTTAATTTGAAAATGGTATACACAAGTATCGTTATTCGGTCAAATTTGCTTTATCAGTTCAAAAATGGGTTGAAAGCTGCGGAGGCTGCACGTCGAATTCGGAATGCGTTTGGCGAAGACGCCATTACTGATGATACCGCTAGGTTTTGGTTCCAACGATTCAAAGGTGGTAATGAAAGCCTAGAAGATGAACCACGTGGCGGTCGCCCTGAGCCCTGAGTTCGGATGACCAAATAAGACGCTCTCTTCTCGAAAACCCTCGTTCAACCTCTTCAGAAATAGGCCTTACATTAAATTGTGATGGGTCAACCGTAAGGAAACGCTTGAATGCCATAAATTTTATCAAAAAGTTGGACAAATGGATACCGCATAAACGTTAAAAACGTGGATTACTTTTTCACACACCTAATAGTTATTGGTAATGTAGTTGCCAAAAACCTAATTTATTTTATAGAGAGTGTTATATAGAAAAATCTGAATCTTGGCTACATTTATCTACCGCGAAACTTTTAAATTAGGCTTTCAAATTATAAAATTCGATTCAACTACCGGCTAGAGCTCATTCTTGAGCTTGGTATTTGAATCGGATTTTATAATTTTATAAGCTTCGCGGTAGATAAATGTAGCCAAGTTTCAGGGCTTCAATTCTCTATGTAACACTTGGTACTTTTAAATTAAATTAGTCCTTTGACAACTAAATTCCCAACAATTATATTAATTTTTTTTCTTATTCACAGAAATAGTACTTAATCTAATAGAAATTAATAAAATTTAAAAAAAATTTAAAAAAAAATTAAAAAAAAAATAAAAAAAAAATTAAAAAAAAATTTACTTAATAGAAATTCCCACCCGCACGCAATCGATCCATAGATTCGGGACGCCGGCGATCCCCCGCAAACCCGGCATCGCTCAGGCTCGGTCAAGTCAACGATTTGCTCCTCTTCCATCACTACAAAGATCACAAATATTAGAAAATTAATATCTATCAGATAGCTAATATCAGATTAAAGTTTTCTGATATATACCAAATAAAATAAATGAACAAACCTTTTCTACGTATTGACTTGAACAGTATCGCTTCTTGCAGTGGAGGGAAATCAAGAAATCTCTTTTGGAGAGAAATCACTGACACCGTGCCGGGGTCGAGATGGGAAATTGCTTCGGCTCTGGAAATTCGATCGATCGATTTGTTTCGAAAAGTTACTGCGAAGCATAGATAAGCTGAATATTCGTATTTTCTCTAATAGTAGTGCATCCCGGCGAGCCGAGTAGATCACTATTTGACAGTTTCCAAGCTTTTGCAGAAGCTCAACACTCTAATCCCCCCACTAGATCTCATCGTCAGCTACATTTTCCGACCCCAAATCGATAGGTTCTGATAAGCGCTTCTCGAGATTTCGAGGAATTTAGGTGACGCGCAGGGTGCACTACTATTAGAGAAAATACGGTTTATCAGAAAACTTTTAAATATAGAGCAAGACATCAAAACAACTTGTAAAAATTCACAAAGCAGTAAATTAAAAGTGGGAAAGGAATCTTTAGAAAAGCGCAACTCCTTTTTTCTCTAAACTTTTGCGACAAAGGAACCATTTAGGAAATACGGATAAAACAAGTGCGAAATATGTCCAATTTGAGCCGGCCAGATTCGTTTGGCAAATGGAGAGGGAAGGGGCTTATGTAAAAGCCCTGCGCCAGACGACGAGCGATTACGCGGCCGCACAAAGAATACACAGAACACACAAATTTTAAGCGGAAGTGTTTCTTTTTGGTGTATCTTTTTGGAAATTTGGCTATAAGCCTAATTTTTGATTCTCTACAACTTTTCCATTGACACCAGAATGGGTTTCTTTTGAAGAAAGTGCTCAAACTGTCACATATGACAATAGCCGACAGTTTTCAATTCACCAACTAGACATGGGAAAATTCCAACCGAAACCTAATTCCACCTTCGTTTTCTCAGCCGTCTCTTGGTCGATTGTTCTGAAATTTTGCTTACAAACAGAGAATGCTAATTTCTTTTTTTAAACAAAATTTCAGAACAATCGACCAAGAGACGGCTGAGAAAACGAAGGTGGAATTAGGTTTCGGTTGGAATTTTCCCATGTCTATCACCAACCCAATAAAGTCAAGAAAAATCAGCAAAGATTGACTTACAAAAGAGAAAAAAACAAAAGTAAAATAAAAAAACGAATAGAATGTTTTTAATTTTCTAGAAAAGAATGAAACTATTAGGTTGTCCAATAAGTAATCCGTGTTTTGACACGATTTTCAAAATATCACAAAATTAACAAAATAGAACTTTATTAATCGATATATTCTCCACAACAATCAACAACATTTCTCCATCGTCCGAGCAAAGAGTGAAGTCCGTCATAATAGAATGAAGCTGGTTTCGATGAGAAGAAATCGTCGAGCCATTTTTGCACCTCGTCAACACTTTTGAACTTGTGTTCTCCAAGAGCGTGCGCCATCGAACGGAACAAATGGAAATCAGATGGAGCCAGGTCTGGACTATACGGCGGATGTGGGACAGTCGACCATCCAAGCTTCTCAATCTCAATCTCAAGCAGCTTTATTCGCTTCACTCAATTTGTGGGGAAGCCACTTTCCGCATCGGTTAAATTTTCCAATCTCATGGAGATGATTTGTCGATTGTTGATTTGGAACAACCAAATAATTCGGCCAACTCACGAGTAGTTTGAGTTGGATCAGACTCAATGGTGTTAAGCAAAGCTTCGTTATCAAAAACGACTGGCCTTCCAGCGCGTCCCTCGTCCTCTAACGACTCGTTTCCGTCTGCAAATCGTTTAAACCAGCGCTGGCACTGGCTGATTGAAATTGAATCCTCTCCAAATGCGGCATAGATAGTTCGATGGCAATCCGCTGCAGTTTTACCTCGTTTGAAATCATACAGCATTGATGCGCGGACAACAAACTTTTTGTCTTTCATCTGCAAAACAACATATCTATTATAAAACAAAGGCAAATGAATAAAATAATATATAAAAATAAACACAAGATGCTGATGATTAAAAAGAGCATATATTTGCTCGAAGCTATTTCGCAATAGTTTCGAAATAAGTAACACGCATTACTTATTGGACAACCTGTGTGGCTGACTGGTTAAGTGTCTTTTATCTTAATCGGAAGGTCGAGGGTTCGAACCCCACATGCGACATGGTCACCCCCTTCGGATTTCCTTTCCCTTCGGGTTGAGAGGTTTTCTGGAGGGCAGTCTGGTGGTTGTGGCCCCAGTTCTTTAAAGTGACAAGCCACTCCTTCATCGTCATCTTCCCTTCACCACCAAAAAAGCTATTTAGTTCCCCATTGAGCTTAGGGTTAGGGAGCCGTCGGTCATGACGTGGGTTAAGTTAAGATATAGCCTAGTATTGTGTGTGTCGTTGTATTCTGATTGATATATTTCGTGTATGCGATAAATTCACCACTGGTAGCCCCAGTCGGTATTTTTTAAAACCTAATACAACTACAGAATTGCTCAAAAAAAGACCGAGAAAGCTTTTAAGTACTCGAATTTTTTGAGGTACAGAGATTTTTACAATTTTTTTTGCAGAAAATTGGAGTGATCTCTGTCTATTCAACTTTCCCTTCAATCTAGTCGACCAGACTTTGCAGCTTTTCTTTTGAAAATCCCGTGTTTTTACAGAAAAATCTATCTCAAAGATCAAAAAAATGAAAATTTGAAAAATTTCAACTTTTAAACTATTTCCCTGATTCCCATAATGAAAAAAAACAATAATTTAACTAATTTTATAATTTATTTATAGATTTAATCTTTATTTACTTCTTTATTTTTTAATTTACATTTATTTTTATATAAAATCTTGCAAATCACGACTAAATCCTGGTTTTTGAGCGTTGATTTTTCGCTTCAGACACTCCCCAAAAATAGAAGTGATTTCATTATCCAACAAATAAAAAAAACAAGAGTTTAGCTGGATTTGAGGCTCTGAAATTGAAAAACCAATGATACAAATGAAAATTTTGAAAAATCAACTACCGTAAATACGATGATTGGACCCCACCGCCATAATGACGGTGCGGAGTATTGTGTAGTCTAGTTTTGAACGAGTTTTTCTCGACACTGGTTTATGCTACAATGCGCGTTTTGGTATCAAAAAATAGCTGAAATTCAGGGCTATTTTTTGATACCAAAGATGCATTTTTTGAAAGTAAGGGCGCTTTGAAAAAAGTGAAAAAAGGTGCGGAGCATTGCGTAGTCTAGCTTTGGACGAGTGTTTCTCGACACTGGTTTATGCTACAATGCGCGTTTTGGTATCAAAAAATAGCCCTGAATTTCAGCTATTTTTTGATACCAAAGACGCATTTTTTGGAAGTAGGGGCGCTTTGAAAAAAGTGAAATACGAAAAAACTTTTGCGACTACGCGACTGTACGAGGGGGCTGGGGTACTATTACAGTATTTACGGTAAGTGTTAGTGCAGTTTGGATAATTTTAACAAAAAAAGCTGAAATTCAGGGTTATTTTTTGATACCAAAGATACATCAAAGATCCTCCGCCACCACATAATGGCCCGTATAGTCGCGTAGTCTAACTTTAAGCGCTTCGTTCTTCGTGCTACTTTAAGCTACAGTCTGCATTGGGTTTTTGAAATAATACCCCTTAAAATCTAGTATTATTTTAGTACTAAAAGTGTAGTTGGGTAAAATCTAGCGGCTGAGAAAAGTGTAAGCTAGAAAACTCGATTACGCAACTGTACGAGAAGGTAGCTTTCTTTTATTAGAGTATTAGGAGTAGGCTAATTTCGGCCATTTTATTTGCGTAGCTGGGTCATTTGCGTAACTGGATCGTTCGCGTAGCTGGATCATTTGCGTAGCTGAGTCATTTGCGTAGCTGGGTCATTTGCGTAGCTGGGTCATTTGCGTAACTGGATCATTTGCGTAACTGGATCGTTCGGGTAGCTGGGTCATTTGCGTAGCTTCTTTTATTAGAGTATTTACGGTATTATTTAATATCAAAAACCTATTCTATATGAGATATTCTCAAAAGAAAACGCTTTTTTTAGGAAGATTGATCATAAAACGATTAGATTTTCATAAAAGATAAGAGAAAAAAAAAGGAAATGATCGATGGGATTCTTTTCAATGTCATTCAACCACCAAGTACGGATAATTTGAGAAAAGAAATGGGAAAGGAATGGGAAAGATCGGCAGTGAAAAGTGATATGAAAAGAAAAAGATCTACACTAAAACTTGAATAATATAAATTTATGGAAATTATTGAAAAGATTAATATATATGCTTTATTCAGTTGAATAGCGACAAAACAAAATCACAATAATTACCCGGGACACCACTCAAAACACACCCAAAAGATAAATAGATACCTCAAGAAAGAATCACAGAGCAGTCAAATCAATTGCCGAAATTGCGGCTTTAAATCTAGCCAAGGTGGAAATATCACGAACCGGTAAAAATTCGGTAAAAACTTGTTTCTAGTGAATTCAAGGACTTTTTTTTGCTCTTTTTGTGAAGCTATGAAGCTTTCCCGTAGTACACTTCGGGTTTTATGTGTTTTCAAACTTTAGTCCTCCAGAAATCGACCGAATTCGTAATTATCTAATTTGGCTTGTTCGTTTAAACTTACAAGTTTACATGATTGGGTAAAGTGGTTTAAATGAATGGTTAAAGTGCTTTACATGACTGGTTAAAGTGGTTTAAATGACTGGTTAAAGTTGTTTGCATGATTGGTTAAAGTGGTTTACATGATTGGTACATTTTGCAAAATAGAAGTTTGTTACATTTAGCAAAACTTGAGGTTCACCAAAAAGTTTGATGGATCGAAAAGCTGCTAAATTTAGCAGTTGGTGGACCCAGGCTCAGGTTAAAGTTTGATTTTTGTTCGCCTAGATGATTTTTATCAGCTAGACTATCAGCTAGACTTTTAGCAAAGCCAGGAAAAGGCAGAAGTCATAACTGAGCCTGTCTTCTGACCTGCTCTGGTCTTTAGAAAACCGTCTAAAGACGGAAAACCGTCTTTAGAAAACCTTTAGACTACGATTTTGAATCTAGTTTTTATCCAATCATTTTATTCAACCAATCTAGTTTTTATCCAAGCAAGTTTACGGTGGTCGAGATTGAAATTTTTTAAAAACGCAAGTCGAATCACGAGAATGTGTTTTTTTAAGCAAAAATGTTTAAAATTATAATCAAATCTCAGAAGATTCGATGACAAAATCTAAACATACGCATCACATGAAAGGAATCATCACATTTCCGGCTTTTACAGCTTTTACAATCAAATCCCCGAATGTATGGGTGCACCGAAAACTACACGCTTTTTTGAGTGTAGTGTAGTTTTCGGAATTTCGCTTGCAGAGTGCAAGTGTTGAAAATTGCAAAAGCCGATACGGACTTTGTGAACTCTCGAAATTCGAATTCGATTTAAATTGGGATTTTGGTTGCAGAGTGCAAGTGTTGAAAGTGAAAAAAAAACAATTTCTAAATCGATTTTACTAAAAAGATCATGTAAAAGCTTCAAAAATGAAAACCGAATTTTGAATAGAAAGTTTCGGGCGAAAATGGAATCATTGGGTAAACAAATTTGCTAAATTAGTTTAATAATTCGGTGACCGTTGCTTTGCCTAGCTTGATGATCAACTCTAACAATGGATCAAAAATTAATTAATCTCGCATACAAAGTGTTCCCCGGGCATTCTCGCTTCTTTCCCTCTTTTTTTCAGTTTGAGTACAAGTTCAACGAATGAACCCATTCAACCAACAACGGATTTCTCTTTTTCTCCCCTTTTTCCCCTATTTCTCCCTTTGCTTTTCCAAATTTTCACATCCGATTATTAATTCGGTAAATTCCCCATAAAATTCTAACTGACTAGACTAGACAAAAGTGGGAATTTTTAAAGGCGTCAAAACAAATCTTAGATCAATGCTTGGATCTGAAACTGTAAAACCCTAGAACACACACACACACACACACACCCGGCATCGAACTCTTGACTTTTTGAGCAGGAGTCAAGTGCATCTGGCACACGGGCCCTTCACATAGGGCGAAGGAGACCCCCCATTTCGGTTTAATTACCCAAGTTTGAGTTTCCCAGCCTCCAAAGATACAGAGACAGAGAGCACGAATTTGGTTCAATTACCTAAGTTCAGGGGAAGCTATCAGTGGAAGCCGTGTGCCAGATGCCGTTTTTTCTTACGAGACACACAAAAGGTACACACAGCGGCGTCGTCTCAGCGATCCATTTAAATCTATAAAAATAGATAGATTGGATGAAAACTAGAGACGAGATTACTGTAGTTTCGAAAAGTTTATAACTTTTAGAAAAAAAGAGAAGCATAAGAATAGAAAAAAAGATAAGAAAAGCATACTTTTTGATCTTCGACTTTCGAGCCATTTTCTGACCGATTCGCCAAATCTTTCAGGCTTTGCGAGGCGTGATCCCGAGAAATAAAAGTACTCCTTTTCCCCATTTCTTTTCTTTTCCTTTTCTCATTTTTCACCCGTACTTCTCTCTCAAACGAATCCCCGTACTTCTTTTCTCGTTTTATCCCGATTTTCCCATCCATTTTTCTTCATTTTCTCCCGCAATTTTCCTTCCCAATCTGTTCAAAATCTAGACTACAAGCCAACACAATTTTTCAGGGATTATCGAGAAAATTTAGTTCTGTTTTTTATCCAAAATCAGTTAAGTTCATCAAAAGAGTGTTTCAATTTGAAAATGGAAATTGAGGTTTCGTTGATTGAGGTTTGGAGAGCAAAAAAAAGCAAAATTTTAAACAAAAATAAAAACACTTCCTCTTTAATGCACGGAAATCTTCATTTTCCTTTGTTATAGCAAGAAAATTAAAGGATTGAGTGCAACAGAAGGGATCTTTTGATTGAAATGCAAGCCAGAGATGCAAGCCAGAAATACAAGCCAGAAATGCAAGCCAGAAATGCAAGTAAACAAGTCCGAAGCTGGTAGTCAACAAGAACAATAGAACAAGGAGTAGCTAATCTAATAATAAATAATATTAGTAATACATACATTATATCAATAAAGGATTGAGTGCAACAGAAGGGATGTTTAGATTGAAATGCAAGCCAGAGATGCAAGCCAGAGATGCAAGCCAGAGATGCAAGCCAGAGATGCAAGCCAGAGATGCAAGCCAGAGATGCAAGCCAGAGATGCAAGCCAGAGATGCAAGCCAGAGATGCAAGCCAGAGATGCAAGCCAGAGATGCAAGCCAGAGATGCAAGCCAGAGATGCAAGCCAGAGATGCAAGCCAGAGATGCAAGCCAGAGATGCAAGCCAGAGATGCAAGCCAGAGATGCAAGCCAGAGATGCAAGCCAGAGATGCAAGCCAGAGATGCAAGCCAGAGATGCAAGCCAGAAATACAAGCCAAAAATGCAAGTAAACAAGTCCGAAGCTGGTAATCAACAAGAACAATAGAACAAGGAGTAGCTAATCTAATAATAAATAATATTAATCCATACATTATATCAATAATAAAGCAATCAAAAATCAATCTGCAAGCAAAAAATGCACTTAAACTACCTTTTAACATTAAAAAACGCTAGCAACTGATTTCCAATAAAGATTTTAAAGAAAACAAAAGAAAGAAGCTTGTTGCAAACTTAGAAATGATTAGATAAGGAATTAATGATTATATATACAGTCGAACCTCTCTATAACGTAACTCACGGGACGGCTATAGCTTACGTTATATAGAGGTTTACGTTATATAGAGTGCCGTTTTATATAGCTTAACGTCGGCCGGGACCGGTCACGCCTTACGTTATAGAGAGGTTTACGTTATATCGAGGTTCGTTATAGAGAGGTTCGACTGGATGTTGTGTCCGATTTAGATTTCCGTCCGATTTAGATTCAATCTAAATCGGACGTCCGATTTAGATTGAACTTATCGCGGACGTCCGATTTAGATTACAGTCTATATCGGACGTCCGATACAGATCGAACAATAATAAACGTGCTTAATATATGTTCTTAAGCGTTTTTTTGCAATTTTCTGCGCTTTTCAAAGAAATTTTCAAAGAACATATGTTAAGCACGTTTATTATTGTTCGATCTGTATCGGACGTCCGATATAGACTGTAATCAATAAAAGACCTTTGAAAAATGCAGAAAACTACAGAAAACGCTTAAGAACATATATTAAGCATGTTTATATTATTGTTCAATCCATATAAGATTTAGATTGAATCTAAATCGGACGTCCGATATAGACTGTAATCTAAATCGGACGTCCGCGATAAGTTCAATCTAAATCGGACGTCCGATTTAGATTGAATCTAAATCGGACGGAAATCTAAATCGGACACAACATATATATATAGATACTTTATTCAGGACCTGAGATAAAGTGCGCTAGATTTAAGATTAAAACACATGAATTCATACACATAACACGAAAAGGGCCGATAAAAAGAAACACGATATAGTATATGTAAAATGTGGATAGCACAGATAACGTCAAGGATCCACTAGAGCTTCAAGATCAAGATCATCTACAGATAATTTAAAGGTTTCGAGACTATTGGACTCTCTATTAGATTAGATAATTAAATGGAAAAAATCAGTAACAAAATCAGTAACAAGATTTTTAAGCTTTTTTTAAGCTCTTATTGATAAAAATTGTCTAAATCTGCGTGTTATCTAGTAAATAAAAGATTCAGCGGAAAAGAAAACAAAATAAAACTGATCTTATAACCAAAATCAATCAAATAAAAGCCAGTTTTAATTGATATTTCATTTTTTCTGTCTACGTGGGAGTGGGACATTTGCGCACCTTTTTTTCCGCACTTAGCCCATTAGCGCACCTTTTTTCGCGTTTTAAAAAGCTCTAAAAGCTAATATTAACCAATTTCTATTCCAAAAGTTGTTTTTCTAGGTAATTTGAGGGCGTAGAATCGAAATTTTGACATATCAGAGCTTGTGGAACCAATTTGAAAGACAAAACTAGGTCAAAACTAGCCGGCTAGGTCAAATTACAGAAAATTGTGTTTTCTCTTTGTATAACTCCGTTAGTTCGCTTCCACAAGCTCTGATATGTCAAAATTTCGATTCTACGCCCTCAAATTACCTAGAAAATCAACTTTTGGAATAGAAATCGGTTAATATTAGCTTTTAGAGCTTTTTAAAACGCGAAAAAAGGTGCGCTAATGGGCTAAGTGCGGAAAAAAAGGTGCGCAAATGTCCGGGTGCGCAAAAAAAACGTCGCATTTGTCCCACTCCCGTCTACGTGACTTCTTGAAAATCAAATTTTGATTTTGAACCCCATTTTCCTCCAAAAAAAACTCAAAAACACAAATTTTTACTTAACAAATCTCATTATTAGACTAAAATTTTCAATTCTGATTTAAAAAACGAACTAACTTTGTACTTATAAATGAGGAGATTAAGTTTTTCTTTGTTTTTTTTATAATTCCAATTCTCTTTATCATTATTTCATGTCTATTTCAGAGATCACTCGAAGATTTTCTTTATTTTTTTGCGAATGAGAAAATGAGACGAATTTCACGCCCTAATTGGAGGTCACACGAGTTCTTTTTTCACGAAAATTTTTCAGAGATCACTTGCAAAAGCAAAAACTGAAAGTTAGCAAGCAAATTAGCCAAAAACCTAAAAAATTGAAGAAAATTGAGTACAATAGCACTGAAAACTAGAGTTTTTCTGAAAAGCAACCTTTTAAAGCATACCTAAATCATTCAGCTATTGACATTTAGCTAAAAAAATGACATTTTATTCTTTTTCTTGTGGGATACGATGTTTTATGCAAAAATTTGTGACATTTACGTTCCTAGGTAAGGGGAAAGGGGGACTCCAAATCACTCCAAATCCAAATGAGAGCCTCACTTGTCCTCCTAGGCAATCCCAAGGACCGCTCCTTCTCGGCAATAAAAGGGATAAGCACAGGGGAGGACACATTTGCATACGAATAGACAAATCATTCAATAATAACATTAGTAACTAAAATATCAGTTTGGCTCGGAGCTGACCGACAGCAGTTTTACTCACTTAACAGAGAGTGACAACAGTTTTACTCACTTACTTATAAAGCAGCAATTAGATACAAGTTACCGTATTCTTTCTAATACTAATGCACCATGATCGTCGTCTAAACTCCTCGAATATCGAGAACCGCTTATCAGAACCTATCGATGTGGGGTCGGAAAATGTAGCTGACGATGAGATCTTGTGGGGGATTTGAGTGTTGAGCTTCTGGGAAGACTTAGAAGCCGTAAAAAAAGTGATAAATTCATTTCAATAGTCATCAATTCAATCATCAGAATCCGCAAATTGCCTGTAAAATGGGCAGAAGTCGTCAATAATAATGGAAATTATTTGAAATGAATTGATGGTTTTATGTTGAATTTTCTTTTCCTTTTCCTCGAAACACATCAAACCGTGGCCCCGCAGATCAAGGCCTACAAAGTGTGTTTTCCCAATCCCAATTTGAAGGTCGAAATGGAGAAGGTTTGAAGGTCTAATCTTAAAACTACCGTATTTTCTCTAATAGTAGTGCACCCTGAGCGTCGTCTAAATTGCTCGAAATCTCGAAAAGCGCTTATCAGAACCTATCGATCGTCGGAAAATGTAGCTGACGATGAGATCTAGGGGAGGACTAGAGTGTTGAGCTTCTGCAAAAGCTTGGAACCCGTAAAATAGTCATCAACTCGGCTCGGCGTTGTGCACTACCATTAGAGAGAAGACGGTTTATAAAAATCTCGTTCAGATCAGTCAGCTTTTCCTCGAAACACATCAAACCGTTACCCGGCAGATCAAGGCCTACGATGTGTGTTTCCCCGACCTTCACATGGATCTCATCTCGATTTGAAGGCTGAAATGGAGAAGGTTTGGAGGTCTGATCTTAAAACTACCGTATTTTCTCTAATAGTAGTGCACCCTGAGCGTCACCTAAATTCCTCGAAATCTCGAGAACCGCTTATCAGAACCTATCGATGTGGGATCGGAAAATGTAGCTGACAATGAGATCTTGTGAGGGATTAGAGTGTTGAGCTTCTACAAAAGCTTGGAAACCGTAAAATAGACACCAACTAGGCTCGGTGCTGTGCACTACTAGACATGTGCCATCGGGTCGCCAAATGCATTTTAGCAAACGGCTTTTGTTTTCTAAAGCCTAAAATCACATTGTAGTCACGTTTTAGAAAAAAAAGCTGTTTACTAAAATGCATTTGGCAACCCGATGGCACATGTCTATGCACTGCACTATTAGAGAGGTCACGGTAACATTAACTACAGTATTGACAATAAAATTTGAATACTAGAAACGTGAGAAGCTAGATTTAGCTATCCCTGACAAGCAAGGACAATAAAAGAAGCAGAAATAAAGTCTTTATTAGTCTGGTTAAAAGAATCTGTGTGAAAAGTTAGCTGAAGATTTGAAGAGTGAACTCAGACTCAGCCCTGTTCTTTTATAGACAATTTCCAGACGAAAACAAACGCGTTGAACTTATTTACATCAAAATACACGGATTAGGATAGAAAATCAGTGCTTTTTAGTCATTAAGTCATGATTTTCGATTTTCCGGTGAAAAGTGTCCAAAGAACAAGGGATTTCGTGCAAATTACCCATACAAATTTCTCAGAGATCACATTTTCTTCAAAGAAAAATTGCGGGATTAGACCAAAGAACCAAAGATTTCATTGAGCGAGAAATTATAAAGTTTTAGCCAAAGATCTAGTTGAAATGAACTTAAACTGAAACACTTAAACTTGAACTTGAACTTAGACTTAAAACTGGAACTTGTAATGAATTGTAAAGTCAAAATTTGTATTGATAGCTTTCAATGTAAATGAGATATTTTCTAAGATTTTGTTTCTTTAGGTAAGGTGTATTTTGTCCTCATCTAAACGCTACCTTTCTGCCGCACTGAATTCTTCAATTACCTTATGAAAACGCGAGAATTTAGTACGTTTACAAGTGCATTTACAGCGTTGAACCACAAAGTACACAAAAAGTTTATTATGAAACTAAGCTCCGCTCCTTTTTGCCAATGGCTGCGCACAGACGGACGGACAAACGGACAAACGAACAGACAAACGGGCAGACAAACGGGCAGACAAAAGCACAGACAAACGGGCAGACAAAAGCACAGACGGACGGACAGACGGACGGACAGACGAACGGACAGACGGACAGACCGACCTCAATTATACATACTATCTTCTCTCTAATAGTAGTGCACCACGCCGAGCCGAGTTGATGACTTTTAAGCGTTGATAAGCGCTTTTCAAGATTTCGAGGCAACGCTCAGGGTGCACGACTATTAGAGAGAATACGGTATATGGCTCTTTTTCTTTCCTACATTTAGCTTCTGCGAAAACTTAGAAACCTAAAATACTAAAATAGTGATCAACTCTGCTCGGCGGGGTGCACTACTATTAGAAAGAATACGGTATGTGTTACGTCCGATCTAGACTGATTTCTTGATCGAACGTCCGATCTAGAGTGAAGTGAGGTCAAGAGGTCAAAACGTTTGATCTAGAATCAAGCCGATCACTCTAAAACTAAGTCTAAGGGATAGCCAAATCTGGCTTCCCACGCTTCTAGTATTCAAATTTTATTGCCAATACTGTAGTTAATGTTACCGTGACCTCTCTAATAGTAGTGCTACCGGCGAGCCGAGTTGGTGACTATTTTACGGCTTCTAAGCTTTCGCAGAAGCTCAACACTCAAATCCCCCACAAGATTTCATCTTCAGCTACATTTTCCGATCCCACATCGATAGGTTCTGATAAGCGGTCCTCGAGATTTCGAGGAATTTAGGCAACGCTCAGGGTGCATTATTATTAGAGAGAATACGGTAGTCATTCAGATGATATGAATTTTCATTAAAAAAAAATATTAATCTTTTTGGTTTCTGGATTGTTGCAAAGGCAAGGTCAAAAGCCGGGTTCAGTTTGTCTTGATCTGCCTGGTCTTGTTTAAGTATCTAGACTTGGACTCTGAACTGGTCTGGCTTACAGATGCTAGGATCCGAGTTGATGACTATTTTGCGGTTTTTAAGTTTTTGCAGAAGCTCAACATTCCAATCCCCCACAAGATCTCATCGTCAGCTACATTTTCCGATCCCACATCGATAGGTTCTGATAAGCGGTTCTCGAGATTTCCAGCAATCTAGGCAACAATCTTCACCCATCTATTCAATATTTATTCAATCAACTTTTCTCTTTCAAAGTCTTGAAAATATCTCCTCCGGCAAGCGTCCACCCATTCCATTTCCTTTATGGAGAACAGATTTTCCAAGTTGAGATCCCATCTTCAGAGCAATATTCTAAATATTATTCTTGACAAAATTGGTAATTCGTAATTGAAATTTTTTCAATTTTTACAATAAACTTTGACTGTCATTGTTATTTTGTCATTGTCATTGTCATTGTTATTTTCAAAAGTGTTCAGAAGGTTCAGAAGGTACAGAAGGTTCAAAAGATTCAGAAAGTTCAGAAGATTTCATTCAACCTGCATATATTTTGGTAATTCCATCAATTCAGTGAACTTCTCAATGGCTACTGATTCGCGACGATACCGCATTTTCAAGTGCTGAAAGGAAGAGCTAAAAGAGCAACTCAAAGTGATCACCTCTAGCAAAGTATGACAATATTTGTTGAAGGCTTTTCTAGCGACTTCAGCGCTCTTCTCCGTAAGGCCCATACCTATTTTTTTTGTTTGGAAATTTGAATTTTCTTTACCAGATGAGAAAAGAATGATATTCTTCATTAAGAGAAACTCCTCATCACCCATTTGCCCTCTTTTCATACATGGAATAACAATCGTCATCCCGAAATGAGTGTAGAAATAGTACGAGTGAGCGTGGCTAAAAAAAAATAAAGAATTCAGTGCGTAGATTTGATCTGATCAACTCTCAAACTTTCAATTTAACTTTAAACACTCTAATCTTTTCTTTGACATCACTGATTTTTAACTACCGTAAATACTGTAATAGTACCTCACCCCCATAATGACGGTGCGGAGTGTTGTGTAGTCTAGCTTTGAACGAGTTTTTCTCGACACTGGTTTAGGCTACAATGCGCGTTTTGGTATGAAAAAATAGCTGAAATTCAGCGCTATTTTTTGATACCAAAGACGCATTTTTTGAAAGTACGGGTGCTTTGAAAAAAGTGAAAAAGGTGCGGAGTGTTTCGTAGTCTAGCTTTGAACGAGTTTTTCTCGACACTGGTTTATGCTACAATGCGCGTTTTGGTATGAAAAAATAGCTGAAATTCAGCGCTATTTTTTGATACCTAAACGTGCATTGTAGCATAAACCAGTGTCGAGAAAAACGCGTCCAAAGCTAGACTACACGACACTCCGCATCGTCATGGGACTGGGGTCCAATCACAGTATTCACGGTATGCCTTACTGTGTTTGAAATTGTTTATGCAGCATTGATGAGTCGAATTTCATACTCCCCAAAGTCGTCAACATTCCATCTTTATAGTCATACTTGTGCGTGTAATAGAAATTATTGAAGAGAATTTGACGGAGAACTTGACGAGCGAAGAAGTTTATCTGAAATTCAGCGAAGAAGTTTATCTGAAACTCTTTTCTAATGGAAAAAGAGCAAGTTTTATACTTGATCCACAGCGTCTAGATCTCTGAATTCAGGCACGGATCGACACCAATCGGCAAAAAGAACGACGGATCGACAGAAAATTCGGCCGACCATTTGTAGCCAGCTAGCTTCAGGGATCAAAGGTTTCAACTCAGGCCGCATCGCTATCTGAAAAGATTTTCAAGTATTCTTTTCAACACTTGAAAAGTGGCTGAATGGCTTTGTGCAGTGGCTGAATGGTTAGAAGTCTTGTATTCTAGTTAGGAGGTGTGCTGGGTGGTTAGAAGCCTTGGCTTCTAGTTAAGAGATGTGCTAAATGATTAGAAGTCTTGTAATCTAGTTAAGAGGTGTGCTGAATGATTAGAAGTCTTGGATCCTAGTCAATTCTAGATCACGAGTTCAATCCTATCCGCTAGAAAATTGAATCCTTTCTATAGGTTTTTCTCTGCAACATCTTTAGGATATTAGGTTAATGTGAAGTTGTGTATGCTTTGTATTCATGTTGAATTCAAAGTCATTCTTGTTGAGCATTAAGTTGAGATCATTTTGTTCAAAGTTTGTACAGAAACTTCCTTGTCATTGCCAAATTCATTCATGTCATTGCCAAATATTGCCAGGCTCATTTTCTTGTTTTTAAAGAGTTCAAACAAACGTTTTAAAACCAAGAATTGATCTATTTCGTTCGAATTCTAGATCTAGTTCTCATTGCTGGTTATCTCGAAGTTACTTGGCTGAAAATGTTCACAATAGAGATGAATCTGTTTAAAACAGGGTTTTCACCTCGTTTCTACACTAGGACTACTATAAAATTAGCATAAAACTAAATTGACATATTGTTTTCCTAATAAAAAGCTATATTTAACTAACCGGCACTCGAGGACAGGCAACTAATGGATTCTGCAGAATTTGAGCCAGTGACACATCCATTGAAAAAGAGAAGTCCACCTCGACGGGTCGATTCAGGTCATCGTTCATGATAATTCTATAAATAACTATAGATATTCTATAGATCTATAGAATATCTATAGAATATCTATAGATCCATAGATCTATAATCTAAATATCTATTGGGTTGGTGAATTGTCTGCCGGATTATCTATAGAAACTGCCGGACTTTGAACTAAAATTAATTCAACATAAAACCATAAATTCATTCCAAATAATTTCCATTATTATTGACGACTTCTGCCCATTTTACAGGCAATTTGCGGATTCCTCTTTCGTAGTAGGATTCTGGTTTTGAATCGAAAAACTTCCAAAGCCAATTTTTGACTGCTTCTTCCGAATCGAAGCGTTCTCCCGCAAGCTTATTACCCAAGATCCGGATCAAACAGTAATCAAAAGGGGCGAGGTCCGGACTGTATGCAGAAGGCGCCAAAAGTTCTCAAACAAGGCTGTTTATTTTAGAGCGAGTCAGTTTTGCAACATGAGAGCGCGCGTTGTCGTGGAGGAGGACGATCTTTGACTTGGAGGGCCTATTCTTCTTCAGGGATTCATTCACCTTTCCCAACTGTTCACTGATTGCATTAACGGTCGTCTTGCTATCCGGCAACTCCCAGTACACCACTACCTCCATATCCCAGAAAACGTAGAGCATAAACTTCTTCTGGTGCAAATCGGGCTTAGGGTCACTTTCGGTTCGTTGGTGAATTGAAAACTGCGGGACTTTGAACAATTAATTCAACATAAAACCATCAACTCATTCCAAATAATTTCCATTATTATTGACGACTTCTGCTCATTTTACTGGCAATTTGCGGATTCCTCTTTCGTAGTAGGATTCTGGTTTGTGTGTGAGACAAGTGTGAGACTTAAAAATTGAGGACTGGAGATGTCCCAGTTTGAGCACTCTCTTCAAAAGAAACCCATTTTGGTGTCAATATAAAAGTTGTAGAGAATCAAAAATTAGACTTATAGCCAAATTTCCAAAAAGATACAATTAGTAGTTTCGCTTAAAATGCAAGTTTTGTGAAAATTCGTAAATTTCGCATTTCTTGAAAACCGGCTTTTGAAACGTTCTGAGGATTTGGATAGAAGCTTAACTTTTGATTCTCTACAACTTTTCTATTGACACCAAAATGGGTTTCTTTTGAAGAAAGTGCTCAAACTGTGACATATGACAATAGCCCGCAGCTTTCAATTCACAAACCCAATACTTGTGATTCTAAAACTTCAGATTACTGATAAGTGACACGATAATCGACTTGCTTCCACACAATTTCAATGGACAAGATGAAAATGGACAAGATGAAAAATGGACAAGATGAAAATGATAAACATTTTGTGGAATCCGACGATCATTTGCCCGAGAGCACCGGTGAGAATGTGTTTATAGTTTAAGGCTATACGGTATCTAGTTCATTATGTAGTTCATTATTCATCTAGTTGCCCAAACTGTCACCTCTAACAATAGCCCGCAGTTTTCAATTCACCAACCCAATATAAATATCTTTATAATTTCTCACTCTTGTGTGTAAATCATATCCTTCAGCAAATCGATCGCCTCTTTCTTTCGGAAACCACCCAACGGCATGCTGAAGACACGAGCGGCTAGCTGTATTTCTCTCTAAATTTAAAAAAATATTCAGTTAACCAATCGTATAAAAATATAGATAAATAAAATATAGATATATAGATTAAGATTGTAGATTTATGTAGATTTAAGTGCACTGGAAGAATTGAAAAGATCAGTACAGCTGATTATACATTTCGAGTGTCCCCCCTGTGTCCCCCTTTTGCCCCCTAAGTGTCCCCCTCAAAGTGTCCCCTTTTTGTCCCCCTAAAGTGTCCCCTAAAACCCCCTTAGTATCCCCCTAAATTTTTCCTTTTAAGATGTTTCGAGTTCGATGCATTTGCCGATCATTGAGTTTAAAAAGTTAAAGCACATTTGGAGAGCAAAAAGTTGTGATTTGATATGAAAAAAAATAGGGGGATACTAGGGGGGGGACACTTTACGGGGACAAAAAGGGGACACTTTGAGGGGGACACTTAGGGCGGCAAAAGGGGGACACAGGGGGGGGGAGGGGGACACTCGAAATGTATACAGCTGATTCCATTTAACTAGAAATCTACAGCACATTTTAACTACAGTAATCTATTTGATATGGATAAATATTTGAAAAAATAAGTAAATAGTCATTTTTAATGTAATTTAATGCAAAAAAAATAATGCTTTGATAAGTTTACGAAAATTTTCAAAGGAAAACTTTTTCAAAAGAGTATTTTTAAAGTTTAAAAGTTAAAGAGTTCAAAATTATATCTTTTTTAAGAGAAATTAAATCAAAAATGTAACTTTCTAAGTTAAAGAAGTAACTTTCCAAGTTAAAGAAGTAATTTTCTAAGTTTCTAACTTCTAACTAAGTTCATATGCCTAAATACTTGTGTCAATTATAGTTCTACTGAAATTTGTAATCACATTTCTATTTCCTTACAATTTGTGGGATGTTTAGTGTTCTCGTGAAGCACGATTTCACGTTGAAACTAGCTGATTTTTGTAATTTGTAATGTATCGCGAGCTTAACGCTTATACAGCTTCTACAAGGCAACATCTTCTACAAGGCAACAGCTTCTACAAGGCAACAGCTTCTACAAGGCAACAGCTTCTACAAGACAACAGCTTCTACAGCTTCTACAAGGCAATAGCTTCTACAAGGCAACAGCTTCTACAAGGCAACAGCTTCTACAAGGCAACAACTTCTACAAGGCAACAGCTTCTACAAGACAACAGCTTCTACAGCTTTTACAAGGCAACATCTTCTACAAGGCAACAGCTTCTACTCAACAGCTTCTACAAGGCAACAACTTCTACAAGGCAACAGCTTCTACAAGACAACAGCTTCTACAGCTTCTACAAGGCAACATCTTCTACAAGGCAACAGCTTCTACTCAACATCTTCTACAAGGCAACAGCTTCTACAAGGCAACAGCTTCCCTTGCTGGAACCGAACGCTACATGAGCCCAGAAGCTTATGGAGATCACCAACCTGCTTACAAGATCTCTCAGCTCTTCGTGCACACAATCGACGGGCTTCAACTCATAAATACCGTTCCATAAGTCGAAGAATAACGCCGTTCGGTAAACAACGATCATTATCTTATTAGCAATTAATAACCTTAGATAAGCTCACTCAACTCAACTCAACTCTGACTTGTATTCTGTGGACTTTATTCTGTGGGTGACCATTGAAAGGAGGTGGGCTTGAAATAGCTGATAAAAGATTTAGTGTTTAGATTAGTTTTTGGACATTACCAACATTTTGAGCATTTTAACTATCTGGCGTTTTTCTTCGACTTTTGGAACGGTATTTATGAGTTTGAGCCCGTCGATTGTGTGCACAAAGAGCTGAGAAATCTTGTAAGCAGGTTGGTGATCTCATCTAATCATCCCAGAAAGAATTCGACTGAATTTTTCTGATTTTTCATATAGATTTCTTAAACTACAGTAATCTGTAATCAATTTTCGTCTTTTAAAGTGACTCACAGAGTCCGGACAAGCAACACTGGAGGAGCTGCGCGGTGAACAACTCCGCTCCTCGTTCAGACAATTTCTTGATGTTGATGCATGCAATTCGACTGTGTTAGCGGACTGAAACAGAGATTTTCTTTAGAATTACATAATCTTTCTATATACAAAGGTTTTACGAAATATTATAGCTTTTTAAAACGCACCAAATCGATGATTTTCCCTCTACCCGCTTTCCCGCCTGTCCACACCTCCATTTTTGCTCGTTTTTCTCTCAGATTACAGCCGGATCGACGAGCTGTTACTGAAAATATTAAAAAAATCTATAGAAATTGATTTAAACAAACAAACAAACAAACAAACAAACAAACAAAAAAACAAAAAAACAAACAGACATCAGTTTTACAATCTTAAACTTTCTCCTTACTTTCCGGGATCATTCCCGCTTGAATGCATTTTTCGTAGCGACACGTTGCACATTTCAATTTGCCTAAAAGTTGCAGTATTCGTATTAGATTTGGAAATTTTGATGTGAACATTAATAGCCATTAATAACATCAAAAAAAGCCATATCATAGCCAATTTCACTTCAATCTGCTCGTCTTTAATTTCAATCGATAGAAAATGAAATTCTGCGTCAATTGATGATAAAATCAAAAAGATTCGAGTGAAATTCGCGAAGATATTGCATTCTTTCGTTGCACCTCTATTAGCGTCCGCACCGAAAATTCTTAAATCGAAATTCTATGCAAATTTTCAGCCATTCCAATTGCGATAAGAGTCAAAAGTGCCCAATTTACCAAATCACTAAATTACCTGGTCCTTTAAAATTTTGTGTAACACAAAGCTTCAGATTCTTGCATGCAGGCACTTTGGCGCCGGTTGTGGTGATACGGAGGAAGAAATTCTTGCAACTTCTAAAAGAAGAGACATTGATTACAATTGATTTACAATTGTAAATTTAAAAAAATCATTTTTACCTGAATCACCGTTAGATTATATACCGTAAATACTGTAATTGGACCCCACCGCCATAATGACGGTGCGGAGTGTTGCGTAGTCTAGCTTTGGACGCGTTTTTCTCGACACTGGTTTATGCTACAATGCGCGCCTAGGTATCAAAAAATAGCTGAAATTCAGGGCTATTTTTTGATACCAAAGACGCATTTTTTGAAAGTACGGGCGCTTTGAAAAAAGTGAAAAAAGGTGCGAAGTGTTGCGTAGTCTAGCTTTGAACGAGTTTTTCTCGACACTGGTTCATGCTACAATGCGCGCTTAGGCATCAAAAAATAGCCCTGAATTTCAACTATTTTTTGATACCAATGACGCATTTTTTGAAAGTACGGGTGCTTTGAAAAAAATTAAATACTAAAAAACTTTTGCGACTACGCGACTGTACGAGCGGGGTGGGGTACTATTACAGTTTTTACGGTAATTGTTAGTGCAGTTTGGATAATTTTAACAAACGAAAAAGGCAAAATAAAAGCACATACGCACAAACGATGGCTCCGTAGTTGCGTGAAGCTGGCACACCATGGCAAACACGGCATTTCTCGTTTTTCGCCGCTGTCAGATCAACGATTTCCTCATTTTCTTCCGTAGATACGTGCTCGTCTTTCATTTCTGCAAGAATTTAGCCAAAAAATTGTGTACTTTGTGCTCAAGCTAAACGCACTCTTTCTGGCGCACTAATTCAGCATTACAGAAGATGAACCTGCGAGAAAAATGGGCAATTCAGTGCGCCAGAAAAGAGATATTTTAGAGCACAAAGTACACGAGTTTAAAAAATTCAAAAAATGAGCAATAGATAAAAATTTACATTTAAAGCATAAAAATAAATTCTTGGTTTTATTTGTGATCAAATCTTGTAGGAAACTTTGTTTTATTGAGCTCTAAGAATCAAAACAAAAAAAAAAAGTAGCGTTGATCTTTGTTTCGTGAAAGGTTACAGAGACAAATTGGGGAGAAAAATGTCTGAAAACACTTGGAAAAGGAAAAAAAATTAGGATTTTTCATTTGAAAAGGGGAAATAGGAAAAGAATTAATTGAAAAGAGACTGAATAAATAAATAAATATAAATCCTTTCTTTCTTTTATTAGTTTCAATCAAACAGCTGACTAGGGTCTAAATTTGAAACTTGGGCAATTGAACCGGATAGCTTTACTATTACTTGGCAGATTTGGTTAATCTTTATAGATTCCTTGCGCGGATGTGCATCATCATTTTCTCGGATCACTCTTTGCGGATGGGGAAAATAATCTAACCTTAGACTTGGGTAATTAAACCGAGATCGGTGATCTCTGTTGAGATCTCGGTCGCCTATCTGGAAGGGCCGTGTGCCAGATGCCGCTTTTTCTTACGAGACACACGAAAGGTACACACAGCGTTCCTCACGGTGAGGAAAACTGTATGTACCTTTAGTGTGTCTCGTAAGAAAAAACAGCATCTGGCACACGGTGCTTTTAGATAGCCGAGAGGGACCGACTATCTCGGTTTAATTACCCAAGTTTGAGGTTGCAGCAATATCAGGTCTTTGCCAAGAATATCTTCAGTAAGTCTTGAGTCTTGAGAACGCGTTTCCGATAGAAAATGTAAAAAATACTAGAATTAACTAAAGATTTGTCTAATTTTGCTCAAAAATAGTGGAAAGGAAGTAGACTTTCGAATCGATTTCGGGGAAATGAAAAAAATGTGGTTGAAAAGTGAGAAATTTTTTCGCTTTCTTTGCACGTAATCCGGTCCGTTTTATGTACGCAAATTTTTTACCAGCACTCTATTTTCTGTAATCTTTCAAAAAGAAAAGAAATTTTTAGAGTTTGTGCAAACGAAAATCAAAAAATGACTGAATATCTTTTAAAAGCTATATTACTAAAAGAATATTCAGTTAAAGTAATATAGCTTTTAAAAGATATTCAGTTGATCCAATTTCAATTCATTTGCATTTATTTAACCCAAAATGTACCCAATTTCTGAAAGCTTTTAAACGAGCAATTATCTGAATTAGGCACAAAAAATTGGAGCCGAATATAGCCGAATATAGCCGATATTTCGCGTACATACTGCACGGGCGCTATTTTAATCCATTCGTACAAAAAAAGAGCAAAAAAGGCATTGCAGCTTAAGAATTCGCAAAACTACAAGAGACACAACTTCTTTTTATTTTTCGGATCATTTCCGGATCAACTTCTTTGTAATTTAAATGGAAATGGATGAAATTCGCTTTTAGAACTCGCCCAGCTGGCTTTTTTCACGTTCACTTTAAACGGATTCATCATGAAATTATCAAGGAAATTTTTGAGAATTTTTTGATAGATTAAATGAATTTAAGAACTATCGTAATCCTAATTTTATCCAATCATTTTTGTTATCAGAGAAAAGAGTAGGTGAAGAGTGGGAACGGTGACGATGCTGATCCTTAATGAACATTTCAAGGAATATTTGGCTTGAAATGTTCATTAAGGCTTAAGCCTAAGCCATAGCTAGCTAGTTACTTAAAGAATTTGAGTTGAAGTTTCAACTTTAGTGCATCCCGGAAACGCGTTCGTTTCATGAGATAAACTTTCTTGTCTTTCGGGGACTTGGTGCCAATGCTAACCTCAAACTGATGAAGGTAATTAAAACTTGGGTAATTAAACCGAGATGGCAGAGCTCTGTCCTTCTATGTGAAAGGTTCATGTGCCAAATGCCACTTTTTTCCTAGGAGACATACAAAAGGTACACACAGCATCGCCTCTTTACCTACTCTTTTCTCTCATAACAAAATTGATTGGATAAAATCGATTGCTGGATAATTAGGATTACAATAGTTCTTAAATTCATTTAATCTATCAAAAAATATAAAATTTCCTTGAAAATTTCATGATCAAACTTCAGAAAACTATATTCTAGAATGCAAGAATTTCAGAAAAGATTTCTGCTTTTTTGTATAAAAAGGATAGAGGCGATTTTCTTCGAATGAGGTAATGAGGTCCTTTTTTTTCTCTTTTCTCCAAAAAAATTCAAAATTGAGTTCAAAATCCAATGGATCACGTCAAAAAAAGAGAAAACAGTATGTACTCTGTCCAGCCAAGCGCTAAAATTGGCTTGTGTTTTGTGAAAAAGGCCTTTAATCTCAGGGTTGGAAAAGAAAGTTGCGAAAATCGTGTAAAGACCAGAATCTGGTGCACTGAAAGTTTGGCTTGTTCAGTGAAAAGGCGAAGTTCAGCTGAGTTCAGCGAGTACGGTAAGTTCCGTCAAGTGAAAACCCCTTATTCATCATTTTTTTTAAAGTCTTCGGAAAAAGTCGAGTGGCAAAATCCCTCCAATCCCTTGATCTTGAACCATCACCATTCGATTGTACTCGGGGATCATCTTTTGGTGGAGAATCTGAAAGATTTTGCATGAAAGAATAACGACTGCGCGTAATTTTTATTCATTTGTACATCGGGAAAGCGTTCCAAAATTGTGACTTATTTGTGGGATGAAACTGGCGCTAACTTCAAACTTGGGTAATTAAACCGAAAGCAGTGGACCCTGTCGCGCTATGGGTGTAGACCGTGTGCCAGATGCTGTTTTCTCTTAAGAGACACACAAAAGGAACACACAGCTTCCCTTGTGTGTACCTTTCGTGTGGCTCGTAAGGAAAAATGGCATCTGGCACACGGCCCTTCTAGATAGGCGACAGAGATCATTGATTTCGGTTGAATTACCCAAGTCTAAGGTTGAGATATTGTCGCCAACACCTCTCTGTCTCTGGATCAGTGGAGGTCGTGTGCCAGATGCCGTCTTTTCCTACGCGACGCAAGAAAGGTACACACAGCTTTCCACCGCGGTGATAGGGCGACAGAGAACCGCCATTTTGGTTTAATTCCCCAAGCCCCAGATAGCATTAATTTTGTCGAAGGCAAAGAGTGTCCTTGTTGCGGTAGGGAAAGCTATATGTATCTTTCGTGGGTCTCCTAGAAAAGAGGGATCTGGCACACGGTCCTTCCATATAAGGCGACAGAGACATCCGATCTCGATTTAATTACCCAAGTTTGAGTTTAGCAACAACCCCAAGACTTTTCAAAGTGCCTTGAGAAAATTTTGGAACACGTTCCCGATTCGAAATACAAAACAAGAAAAAAAAGCAGTTCTTGCAATTGTCACCTGTAAATGCTTCGGTATCTCCATCAACGCCACAAAATACTCGATAGCAAGCGATTCATCCTTGAATCGGGACTTTAAATGCTAAAAATTAGAAAGTAGACTTTTGTTCAATGCTAAATCCCACCTCTATCAACAGATTACTGTATTTGTTATGCGCTTTTTTCATCACATCTCCACTTTTCTCTTTTAAACCGACACCTAAACTCATTTTTTTAAAATTTCTCATCAATTTTCAACTCACCCGCCGAGAAGATCACAATATTTTTCATCAAAACAAACTCTTCATCTCGCATTTGAACTTTCCGAATTATTG